TAAACTGTTGTGTGCACGTCCTCTCCAATCTTTTCCTTCATCGCGGGTATCAGGGAAACGTAATCGGGCCAGGGTTAGTTTCGTGGTCCCGGCGTGGTTCAAGACCACATGCTGGGGCCCAAAACAATGCCAATTTTTAACTAATTTTGGAAAATAAGAGGAGGGAGGAAGGAGGAATGGGACTATTTTTGGTCGAGTGCAACCACTGGACACGACGGAAAAGCGTGTCGTCATTCAGAACACCCAATTACGCACGTGCACACACACATGTTCTTCTAGCTACTAGCGAAATCCCGGAAAGACATTTTGTCCACAGAAACTATCTTTTTTCTGTTTAGCCCCATTGGAACACACAAAATTCGACGGACTGAGGTGAATTGTGGCTTACCGCGGCATGCAATATTTCAATCGCATGTGTATTTTTGGCACCGGACAATGTGCAATCAAGGTTTGTATGTGTGTGTGTGTGCTTGATTGCATTCTTTCGTGGCACCTGCGCTACCTGTTCCTCCCTGTCTTATTTCCCGCTTTTGTGAACTATTAGACTACTGAAAGCTTAGGTTGTATTTGGCTGACAGGCGTTCTGGAGCAGGCAGAGCCGTCGTGTTTAGGAAAGTCGTCTAGATTCGAGACAATTATCGTTGGCCCAGCTCCCTACACAGGAAAACGGTTTCATAAGATCCACATTCCCGAATTAGCTGTCTCCGCGCATTCAGGAAGCATCTTTTCCTCGTCAAATCTATCTATTTAAGCCTACTGATTGATAACAACGAAGATTAGAATAAGGACGTTTGCAGTAGAATACACAGAGGTAATCTTACCCGGGAAAGTGCATCGTTCCAGTCGCGTAAAATGCCCTCCAATTTCGACTGTTCGGCACCCACGTCAGGCGCGTTCTCTATGGCCTCGTTCAGTTTTGCTAGGCGTTGACGCTGGTCCATTGTCAGACGTTGGACGTGATCAATTTCCGACTTCAGTGCCTCCTTTTGCGTCGCCATGACGTCTTTCAGTCTGTTCAAAAATACCAACAGTGGTTTATCGATCGAGGTGAGTCGAAGTGGTGCAACAAATCTCACTGACCAGACATCTCAGGTGAGAATTTCCCTGTTCAAATTTTTGTTTAAATCAATGATAACCTAGGTAGCGCGGTTTGCTGAAAATATGCTGGTGTGACGCGCGCCAATCGACCAACGCACGCCAGCCTGGCCTGTCCCCTTGGCTATGGCCCTGTGGGTCATTTCTGACCCCCCTCCTAAGACTATCTCCTCCCGGTTCCAACACTAACCCCCTAGTCCCCTCCCCACGCCGGGATCCTCATGTTACGTCGCGTGTCTGGTTGTCAAGCCTGGTTGTGTGATGAAACATGGAAACAGACTTACAGTTACCTCTCCTGTTAGGTAGGCACCTGGTAAAACAGTTCTTTTTTTAAATCGGCACTTAAATGACAGGGTCCTCGCAAAAAGGCTACTTTCCCCTCCTCGTTGACCGTTCACCGCAAATACCCGTACACCTTCAAAAATGTTTACACGCACGCGCAAATTCCACAGATGCAAGCAAATTACTTCTCTCTAATGGGAAGATGCGACTAACCTCTTAAGTTGAGAGTTGAGTTTGTCGAAGGCTCTGCGGGTGCTCTGGGCGAGAGCTTCGGCGTCGAATTCAAGGGAACGGAGAATTGTGTCGATGTCCTGAACCGTGCCTCGCACCTCAGCTGCTTCCTCCTTCAGACTGAAATGAACAAACCGGATGCTACAACCGACACGAAAAGCGGATATTCTTGTTGTCTAGCTAGTCCTTCACAAGCCAACATTGGTTCGAAGCGTCAATTATGCTTACTTTCTGATGGTTTCGGTTGCGTTGCGCGCTTGTTCGGTTAGGGTGCTGTCACGGTTGCCAGAGGCCTCTAGCCGCCTGGAGAACTCGTCCAGTTCACGCTGCCCCTCCCGCCTGATCCGATCATCGAGTCTGTTTAGATCCCGCTCAAGATTTTCCACCTGGTTCAAGAGATCTGGACGCATGCACGCGGGCTAAAAGGCAACACGAAACCTATAAATAAATCAAACTGTCACCAAGAGTTCTAACGTCGACATGGAATCCAGTTTATTTTGTTAAGTGCTTGCGTTTGACTCAATGCCTGCTCAATTCCTCCAAGGTCAAATGTTCTACTAAATCAGGTAGTTCTTCCTCCTAGTCGTCCCCTGGAAACGTCACGGAATCCGCTAATGAACATTACACTTTTTAACCTCCTTGAACCTCAATCAATGCCCGTTTTAGACCCCACAAAACGGACTACTGTTATTTTAAACTCCATTTCTCGTCGTGCATTCGAGTTCGCAGCAATGGCAAAGTATGGGCCGCACTAAATTAGCCTTCTATTCGTCTTGTGGCACAATCTACGCTTGTGGTTTTTTTTCGAGCTTTGGATGTGGCCAGTGGTTTTCGCGAAAGAGCCGAAATCAGAAATCAAATGGCATCAACCGACAGTGGTGAGATGCAAAAGTAGCAGTTTCATTCAGATGGTCAGCTGCTCTGAAAGGACAAGTGACTTCCCAACAAGCCCAAAAAGGGTGTGTGTATGTTCTAGCGTTGAAAGCGACATGAATGCGATGTTTAACCTATGCTGATGCACC